CCAAATAAATATGTTAAAAGAATTTATTGATGACAAAATTTGGATTTAACCTTTCTTTGCTGTTATGGCTTTCTAAATTTAATTTTGAAAGACAATATTTAACAAGTTAACAATGTACAAAACTCAAAATAGATATTTTGATGGCTTTGTATTTGTTTCTTGATGTTTCCCTCACTTTTAAATCCATTGCTAATAGTTTTCATAATACAACTCCTGCTAAAATAGTATAGCTAAAGAAGAGTTACCTAACCAAAAAAATAATCCTCTAAATGAGATCAGAGAAGGGACCTTGATATATTCTTATTAACTCAAGCTTCCTTCTTCATCAAACAACTTCCTTTCTCATCAGATAACTCAGACAAGTTGACAAAAATAAAAATGTAACAATTATATTCAATATAAAACAATTTCCTGTATATCATTCTATTTTTAACTATCCTCACTAAGGAAAACAAACAAACAAGCAATTGAAAAAAAATGACAGTGTCAAATAATTTGTTGGTATTCGTGACATTTGCAAATATATTGGTTTTCAATATTATTAACCTAAACTGGATTTGAAATGTTCTTTCACCAATTAGATATAGTTTTGTGTCACAGCAATTCAAAATTTAGGCTCATTTTTATAAATCCAAAATCACTGGAGATATTTTAGTTTACTCTGGATGTACGTGTTAGCATACACGTTTGCTATACGGAGGCTGCAGAAATTTGCTATTTCTTTGAAGATTAACAATAAAACAGAAAGAAATGAGCGTTCTCTTGGCGCGCCGTTGCTACATACATGTACAAAATCAAAACATCGCGTCAGTACTATTTCAAGGCCGTTACTAGGATATTAATTTAGCCTCATTTAGTTGACTAGTACAGTTTTTGCCCTGGCGTATAATATTTTCAAAGGCTTTTTATAATACATGTACATGATCAGCGAAATATATTAACATAAGGCGAGTTTTGTTGTAAATATGGCGACTTTAACTATCCCAGAAAATTCAAGTAACTATCGAAAAAAATTTCCGTGTTCTGGTAAAAGTCATTCCTTTTTCTTAATTATACATTCAAGACCATTACTATGAAGATAGTCTATACATTCAAATAATCGTTACTTTTCTAAAATATGGTCAATTTTAGCTAAAAAATATAACATTCAGCAACTCAACTCTCGTTTCCGGGTGATCTGATCTGAACTGAATAAAAGAATGACTGAAATCCACCAGCATAGCCGAGACACACGTTTGCCAGGAATTAGGCAAATTGACACCTCTAAACAATAGCATTGTCAGTGTGTTTATTAGTTGTCTGAGGTTTATATATCTATGAAGCATATCATATCCAGTACATGTATACATGTTTTCCAACATAAATGCCATAATTTCTTTAGATTGTTTAAAGGCTTATTTTTTTTTATACAAATCTGCACCACTCTCTATGACTACTGTGAGTCTCATTTCAGTTATGTT